GAAGTAATTTTAATAAGGCTGCTCATGCTTACATCAGAATTAAGATTAGCTCATTTTCATTGTTATGTTTTACATACTAAGATAAATAGAAAAGTTTTACAGATTCTACTGTTGTTAAAAGCAAATGCCTTATACAACTAAAAGAAGCCAGGCAGCCTGTTGGTTGGAGATTTCCAGTCAGAGAGTTGAAACTTAAGCCACATGTTGACTAGCCAGCCCAGTTTTGGCCAGGCCCAGCTGGAGCTGTGCAGTGTGGTCAGTACATGATGTCTGCAAATGTCTCTTCCCTTCAGCCAATGCTGAATTCGACAGTTACTGCATAGGTGATCCTTACAGAATTTGCATTTGTTTTCTGATGATAGCCCTGGGTGAAAGTACAGCCAAGATGGTAGAGTGAGAAGCATTTACGGTAGTGCATAACTCAGATGTAACTGGCACAGGAAAATCCACACTCGTATGAAAACTGAGAATAAGCAGGGTATATTGCAGGCAATGTTTCAGTGTCTTTTTCATAAATCTTTTCTAAGATGTCTTCATTTGTTTCAGGGGTTTGATTTTATAAAGTAAGAGGATAGTGGTGCCCATCTACATGCAAGATGTATGAGAACAGAAATGTATGAAATTAGAAATGAAGCTCTTAAAAGTTCAGAATAGCAGAAAAAAAGTAAGGGAATAACACTTTCTAGGAAATAAGCCTTATGTTGCATGTTCATATATTGATTGTTTCTGCCATATGGGAAATCTCTCTAACTTTTTTTTTGTTTTGCTGTGTGACACACAGATCTCTGTGGTAGGAAGGATTTCCAGCAATGTGGCCTTGTTAAACACAGTAAAGTTAAACCAGGAGTGAATTTGACTTGTGTTTCCTACTGAGCTCTGCAGCTGACTGTACATGGGCCACCAGTACTGACAGTGATGTGAACTGCCTGTGGCCATTTAGATAATACACAAGGGTGAATTAACCTTCCTAGGCACTAGAGAGTGAATAAATCTAGAATTCTAGCATGTATGACCTGTGCTGCAGAATGAAAAGGTACTTCTGGCTGTTGTTCCTGTGCAGTGGAGACTCTGTTGCAAGTTTCAAGTGTGAAAGGGAAGATTGCTGGTTGGAAATAGGCTGTGAAAAAGATTGCATAGACTTTGCCCTGGAGAAAAGAAAAAGAACTGTAGGAGTTACTGGCACATTCATCAATACACATTTCTCTGGTTGTGTGTGATTTGTTTTTTCCTGTTGTTTATTTAATCCTTGAGACCTAGCTGTAAACTTAAACTGTCAAATTACGGTTAAATACCAGAAAAATACAGAGCATGTTCTCTCAGCATATATTTCAGTGAAGGGTTATCTGACATGCTTCAGCACCCAAAGTCAACTTTGCATATTGAGGAAGTATCTAATAATAACTCAAATTATAATCTTAAAAAAAAATCAGCTCTTTCAAATGACCTGTTTTAGTGAGCTTTCTCCAGCAGGATATTGAAATCATACAGCATCTCCCAGCACTGAGCACCTTCAGCTAACTTAATACTCAATTTCATTTCCATTAATATCAGCATTAGACTTTCATTGTTAGGTCCACAGCAGCAGTGGCATCCTTACTGTAAATTTTGTGATAAAAACAAGGACTGACCTCAGTTCCAGGAAAGGAATGTAGATCCTTAAGCCAGAGCAGCTATAAATGCTTTTGAAAGGTGCTGTTCTTAAGAAACCCTTTTGCTCCCTATCTCCTAGGTTCAAAGGCTGTCTGTTGGAAGCATCCCACGTTGCATGGTGGTTGTTCTGGAAGATGACTTAGTGGACAGTTGCAAGTCTGGTGAGGATACAGCATATATTGCTTATGTTTGTACCACAAGCATTTTTATTTTTCCACTTGAGGTGAATCCTTGTCAAGCAGGCTGTCAGCACCGATGGCTTGTCGAGTGAGGTATGTTCACCTGTCACGTTGCTGTTTCAGGCTGGACGTTAGCATGGCAGTAGAAGACAGTTCTAGAAAATGTCATGCATCCCCATGTTAGATCTTGACTGTCTGACAGATCAGTTTCAATAAGTAATGTGTTGTGACATACAAAAAGCATATTAAATTTTGTTAGTGTAGAACACCAAACCTCTCAAGTAAATTGGTTCACACCATCACATGGCGTGTGGTGCCCCTCTGTGGGTTCAGAGAGCCAGATAACCTCACCTCCTGTCTCAGGAGTGCTGCAGGTGAAAAACAGCTACTTGGCATTCAAAGAGGAAGCTAATTGGCAGGATGCTATAGGAAGAATGGCATAAAAATTCTCAGATAGGCACATCTCCACAAGAAAGTAATTGCTGATTGTACTTTCTCAGAAGAACAGTGTACCCAGAATGTTAATGAGTGATTCTGGAATTCAACACAAAAGTTACTAGTCACATAAGTTCTGACAAAATTTTTCCTATGGTCAATCTAATTGAAAGAGTTTCTGCAGTTTACTGCATTCTTTAAAATGAGGAAGTAGAGGTAAACCTTCAATAACTCATCCCCCTTAAACACAAGTAGAAAGACGTAGCAACTTCCTACCACAGGTGTGGTAGGAATCTACCTTATCTTTGGTTTAGACTTCCTGTAACTGCAGGAAGTTTTGCTTTTTGTTGTTGAATTTTTTTAACCTGATGCACTGTAACACAGGATCTCAATGGCATTATTATGCATTACAGCTCTCTGACCCATCTGCATGTCTCAACTCAGATGGTACTGTACTAATTTTGGTTGTTACTCCAGGAGATGACATCACCGTGTACGGAGTGGTAATGCAGAGGTGGAAACCTTTCCATGAGGGTGCACGCTGTGACTTGGAGCTTGCTTTAAAAGCCAACTATATTAAAGTGAACAATGAGCAGCTAGCAGGGATTGTCATTGATGAAGAAGTTCGCAAGGAATTTGAAGACTTCTGGGAAAGGCATAGGAATGATCCCTTAGCAGGTTAGTAGCTGAAAGTAGGGCACCTGATCTCATGGAGATGAAATCAGGAGTGAAAATGAGTGACTGAACACATTCTTCCCCCATTATCCTGTCCCACTACCCATTCATCAAGGATATATTTTTTCCAGTACAGGAATAAGAAGTTCTTACTTTAATATTACTCTTAATAATACTTGGGGGGCAAAGGGCCAAGCCAAAGATCTTTCTTCTTTTGAGCTTTCTACTCAAGTATTTTGTGTAACATTTATTAACAAGAAATGAGAAATAATACAAGTATCAGGGGGGAAAAGGTCTTTTCTAATCAAGAAAGAAGCAGCATACCTCTTAGAAGAAACAGCATGGACCAGATCTGCTTTAGTCAGTATAGCTGTTGCCACTGTGGCGAGAGATCTGACTCACTGTCTCCGTGTCCCAAATTAAGCTGTGCATCTTTACTGTAGAGCTTAGCACATCTTATCCTTAACGTAACTCTTGGATGCCTAGACCCATAATTTAAGTGCAGTGAAGCCTCCCAGTTCACAGTGGCTTCCAGAACAGTCAGAGTGTTTAGAACACTGAGTCCTAAACTTACCATGATCTGCAGTCAACCACCTTGGAATTAGCAAGGAGCTGTGTCTGGAACTCTGTGCTGCCTTCTCAACGCCAGGACTCTTTAGGGTCTGTCACTGAACTCTTTTAGGCTGACACTGTGTCTTGTAAAATCCTGGAAAGGGAATAGTCTTTCTTCTTAAAGGGCAAAGAGGAGGAAAGGCCAGTGGGAACATCCCCCAAATTAGCCCGCTCACATAAGAAACTGCAGATCCTGTTATTGATAAAGATTCCTTAGAACTGCATTTCCTGGAAAGCAGTTTAATTTCTTGCCTCCTGCTGTTTGCAACGATAGCATTTCTTCCTTGTGCTGTTTGGAACAAGAATATTTCTTATCATTCTGGTTAGAAATGTCCAGAAAGTAATTCAGGATCTTCCTTGAAGGTCTCCTTTATTCTGTCATTCTCAGGAAAATTTTTGGAAGCCTGCAGGTAGCAATGTGATTTTATGTAATATTACCCATTCTGAATAAATAAATATGAAGTGGCTACACGAAGATTGAGGTGGAAATTTGAAGGACCCTGTTTGTCTGAATTTGAGTGGAAATTGAGGGCAGAGATAAAACTTGACTAAGGAGTCTAAGGTATAGGCCATTTCACAACAGAATATGTGCACAGTTACTGTTTTTCTAGAGATAATAGTAGGTATTACTGCATTTTATGTCACTTCCTGATGCTAACTCCTAACTGTGGAGTTAAATCTTGAATTATGCTATGGCTGAACAAAGTTTTTAAAATTTTGCATTTGGGCAGACAAAGAGGTGTTAATTCCTTCAGAAAACCTCCACAAGAAACACATGTGCCTCAAGTCATCTATTAAGTGCCTACATATTTTGTCAGTACCATGTACTTGCATCTAAATTGGAAACATGAAGTTAAGATCTCAAAATTGGTCACTCTCTTTTATTCCCTAGCAATGAGAGTAACACGTGGCATTAAACCTGTGATCCCTTACGTGCTGGTAGTGTCAGAATCTCAAAGGACAGAATTAATTCTGTTACATATCTTCCAAGCCATCAGCATTGTCATAGCACATCAAAATAATATGTTGCTGGAAAGAGACTATGGCAGGGAGGAGGAGAGGGATTTGTGACAGGAAGGGTCAAAGGAGAAGGAGATTGAAGGTAACGATGAGAAAATGAGCCATACTATGTGTGTACAGGTTTAGGACAAAATACTTCAAGAAGTTTGCTTAGTTTTCTTAAGTGTACAATACATCAGTTTTCAAGGGGATATTTTCAAGTCTGGAAACATCAGGTTTCATAGCCCCTATGCTTTTAACTGTGAAACAAAAGAATTTGCACAATGGCATTTCCTTAGGGCCTTTTCTCCTGCTATCCAGACTATACATTCCTTAAATTGCAATAGGATTGGCTTTTGTGACTGTGAAAGACTTACTTAACTTCTTTATAACGAAGGAAGTTTGGATCAAACAATTGCTTTGGGTCCTATTTAAAAAATATATTACTACTACTACTAATAATAAATTTTCTCCCTACCCTGTTCCTCTTGTTGAAGAAGGCCTAAATTATTTGTCAGTGTACATAGGACTCTGTGGGAAACCCACTTTTACTCCTGGGGCAGTGCTGAGTGCCATTTTTTGCTCCTGTTTTAGGGAGGAATGAAATTTTGGCTAGCTTGTGTCCTCAAGTGTTTGGATTGTACCTGGTGAAGCTGGCTGTAGCCATGGTGCTTGCTGGGGGTGTGCAGAGGATTGATGCCACTGGAACTCGGATCAGAGGTTAGTATTGTTTCTAACAGTATCCCATCCTTTCCAAGACCAGTAAGGTCTCAGTAGCATACTTGCGTGGGAACAATTTCTGATTAATCCTGAGCATTCTTCCAGGATCTCAGACAAATAAAGTGGCTGTCTAGACTTCCTCTTCTTGTTTCAAGTTTTCCCAGATAAAACCCCACAGAAGCAGACTGTTAGGACTCCATTAAGAGAATATTAGAGGCAGCTGTTTTAGCTAAAACATAAACTCACTTTCTATTGTATAAGCAATGTTCTGAAATGATTTTTAGTAGAATATTCCCATCAGTATTTGACATCAAAGGATGGAATCTTAATGTTTCCTTAATGTGGATCACTATAGTACATTGAAAGGAAAAATTAAAGGATTCATTTTACTTCCTAATGCCAGACTTTTCCATCTGTGATTGTCAGCACATCTTACTTAGTTCTGTAACTCCAAGTTATCTGCCTGCTGATTCTCCTTCTGTTGTTATTAGATGGCAAATATGCCGTGTGCCAGGTGGTATGCAGGTCATAATCCATGTAGGTCATAATAATTCTAAAATACAGGATTTTCTGTATGCTCCAGCAGCTACATAAAATCATAGCCTTTATATTTGTATTGAAGTAATATCATAGCCTTTATATTTGTATTGAAGTCATATCACTACTTGTAGAAGACAATGAAATAATTTTAGAGCACTTCAGTGAGAATGTACTATCAAATTATTTACTTTTGTAATTTCATTTTTTGAAATTACAAAGTTGTGTAACTGTTGGCAACGTAACAGAATTAGTTAAGAAAAACAACCTGCTGACTTTATTAGTCCATTTTGCAGTAGTTGTGACTGGATGCTAACTAAAACCTGGTAGCCTTTTGTTTCATGTTCAAGAGTCAGCTGAGTCTGAGAAATGAGTGTCCTAAAATACAGACAGTATGTTAAAATACTTTTAAACTATTTAATAGTAAATCTTTGGTTTGGGTGCAGCAATATGACCAGATGCTGGTATTAAACAATGTATTTTTCACACCAAACAAGTAGTTCAGTCTCAAACAGAATTGCATATTGTAGTGTATATGTAGGTGTATATGTTAGGTGAATAAAGACAAATATCATTTAATCTGAAAGTGTATGTGTTTCTCTGTATATGAACTGTCTACTCCTACATCAATGTTTTCCCCTAAGGTGAATCACATCTTTTGTTGGTTGGAGACCCAGGTACAGGGAAATCTCAGTTCCTCAAGTATGCAGCAAAGATTATGCCACGCTCTGTGCTTACTGCAGGAATTGGATCTACCAGTGCAGGTATGTGCTTCTTCAGCTGGAACAGGTTTTTTTTTCCCTCAAGTATGCTTATATAGAATTCTGCTATGTATATAAACATATGTGCTCTGTTTGCATGAGTACAGTTAAAGCAGAGAGCTACTGCAGAGGTGTATGAGGCCTGATATGACTCTCTGCACAAGGGCAGACTGTGATGACCTTCTCACAGAGAACCGTATAAGCCTAGTCCAGAGGCACCTCTCAATGCTTTGCTAGCAGAGGGTGAGCTGGACCTGTATTTTGAGTGTTTTCCCAGCTGTGACAAATATGACACCTTTCCAGAGCTCATGCCATGTGATGGGCCAGCATCGTTTGGTTTCTCCTGAACAGATACTCTCCTGTTCTTTTGTGTGTTCTGTTTACTTTCTGGAAATTCACCGGTGTTGAGGAATTATTTCTTACTCATCAAGATGGTTTCAGAGAGCAACTGCTTTCTTTTCTTCTTTTTTTTCTTCTTTTAGACAAATATGACACCTTTCCAGAGCTCATGCCATGTGATGGGCCAGCATCGTTTGGTTTCTCCTGAACAGATACTCTCCTGTTCTTTTGTGTGTTCTGTTTACTTTCTGGAAATTCACCGGTGTTGAGGAATTATTTCTTACTCATCAAGATGGTTTCAGAGAGCAACTGCTTTCTTTTCTTCTTTTTTTTCTTCTTTTAGTTAAAATTAACTGCTTTCTTTTCTTCTTTTTTTTCTCTTTTTTTTCCTTCTTTTTGTTAAAATTAGGTATGTCCCAGCTGGCTCTGAGTGCCAGGCATCTTTACCTCCTCTTCTGGGGGTAATGTGCAGGGTCAGATTATTTCTGCAAATGACCTTACATGAACAGATAAATATATTACTTGTACATTCAAAATCACAAAGTAATTAGGGTCAAATCCCAGTGTCTCATCTAGTATGTGCAACTTGAATATTTCTCAGAAAGTGATGCTTTTCATTTTATGTCTGGGAAACAGCATTATTTGAACGTGATGTTGAACATACACACTCTTATGTGCAGGGAACTTCTTATGAAACACATATGCCTCTGATTCCCCACTCAAACTGTTGACAAATAGGTCTGGAGAGAAACCAGAGAGAAAATTTTGGCTCAGCATAACCTTTTCTCCACTTTTTGTTCTGTGTAAGAAAGAACAGGCTGGATAATTTTGGATTTACTAGGGGACTGAGAGTGACCTGGACTGAAATTTTGCCATGTGTTTCAATGTGGCTTTGCCTGCTTTTGTCAGTAGTGATCTCCCTGTTTCAGCTGCTCTTGGCCTCTGGTGTTGCTGTTGCCTTCTTCACCATGTCTCCCTCCTGTGCTTCATCTTCCATATGACCTGGTTTCCAGCTCAGCCATAATAGCTAGGTTCAAAGACATTTCCCTGAAAACCAATATTGCAGTTTACAAGCTTAGTGTGGTATATGTGCTGCAGTGATGCGTGGAGATGAAGATTCATCTCATGAAAGGATTGTCTTGGGCCTTTAGATCACCTACATTTCACATTCCTTATATTTTAAAAAACTTTGTGCTCTCCCAGATTCCCTCCCCAAAATCTGACAGCAGGTGCACCAAATTTCCACCTTAGAATTCTTTAGGACCCTTATCACAAGTGAAACTTGAGTGCCTATCAAGAAATCTTAAAAGCTCTTAATTTCAGGGAACATTTCCCTAGCTAGAACTGCTGGACTAAAGCATTAATTTCTTGACAACGAGTTTGGTTGTATGAATTATTTTCTTTGCCTTTCCTGTGCAAGGAGTGTCTTACTTATAGATCTCTTTGTAGTGTACCTAACATTGATTTTTGTCAATTTGGTCTTTGTGCAGAATTTTCAAATTATGAGTTTGGAGAACTATTAAACTGCTTCACTTTCCTTGTAATAATCACTCACTTTGAATTACCAGTTTCTGTTTTCTCATGAGAGGACAGTCCTAGTGCACATTTTTCCCTCCAGTGTGCAGATACTAAATCTGTAAGTTTCAGCTGGTTCCTTACTTTATATAAAAAGCAGTCTGGATTGTATTTAATTGCTGGCTCTGGGATTACAGTCCACATGGGCCAAAAGACACACCTGGGATTTGGTTAACTCTGGAGAAGTGCTAAAAGCTGTTTCCATTTGGATCCCTCTTGTAGAGAAAACTGCTGATATCTAACCAACCTTTGGTAAGATTAACATGTCTTGTACCCTTTCCCCATCCAGTACTGGTTTAGGACAGAAGATATTTAACACCCATAGAATTAAAACACTGCTTCCAAAACTGTCTATCATATCAGTTTTCCTTGGTTTTTCTCTACAAGCATTTATTTGTACCAGGACAGCATATTAGATCATTAACATTCTCCTTGTGTAAAATTCCCTTTCTTTCCTGCTCTACCTTAGGTATCACATGCTTTGGAATCCACTGTGATCCTCTGGGGCCCTGCAGTGTTTTGTGCCTGCTGCAGCCTACTAACCCATCCAGACCTAACTGGAATTGCCTTGCAGAACTTTAGAAAAATGACCTAACTCTGCAGCTTTATTTTCTGTTAGGCTCTTTCAGTCAGGTTCCTGCCTTCCCCTGTACTTTTTAAACTATGTCTGTGCTTCATCAGGTAGGACCCAAGAGAATGCCCTGCTCTCTTGGTGAAGGTATGGAAGACCTTCATCTTTCTCTCTCACCAGCAGGCTCAAGTTGTCTGTTTGCTGCAAACAGCCCTTACAAATGACCCATAATCCACTCTTTGGTTTGAAAAAACATACCTCCACTCACTGAATAATGTTTCTGACTTTACTTGGTTTATTAGGTTGCTTTTCTTGCAAACACTTAGTCGAAATTTTCTGTTGAGTTTTTTCAAGTGGCAGGACTTATATGAGGACCTGGGGTTTGCTCCTCCCACATCTCTTTAATGGCAGCTGGCAGCCAGACCAGCCCACATGCAACAGCTCCATGGCAGAAATTTGACTACTGTAGGACTTTCTGATCCGCATGCAACAGCTCCATGGCAGAAATTTATTTGACTACTGTAGGACTTTCTGATCTGTAAGTAAGAGATGAGGGAACTGTCTGTCCCACTGTTTGGTTCTGTCTACACTGATATTTTACAGGCTCAGTTCATGGTCCCCACTAGACTCCCATCTGAGAGTCATTCAGCTATCTTTTATTTTTAGAAATTGACATGCAGTTTTCCATAGAGGCTTAGTGAGGCTTAACAAAATCTCTCCGTGAGTTCTCACCTTACTACTGAGTGTAACCAACTGTCTTGCAGTCCCTAGACCCATACTGCTGCTTATGCATATTTGCATGAGATAATCACTAGTAAGAAAATATTTCATTTCTGTCTGGAGCTTGAGATCTGCAGCAATTGAGTGGTGTATTTAACTCCATAGGGACAGGAACCAACACGTGCCTGCTGCTGATGGACATCCAGGCCAGTCATTCCACTGCTTCCATATTTGGCTGTTCACATTTCTGAAAGTTTTGTTTGGTGTTGCATCCCTGCACAGACAGACTGCTGAAGGAGTTTTGGGAACTGTATTTAGAACAGCTTGCCTAAAAATCTGGGAGACTATCAGCTGTTTCTCCAGCTTTCCAGTTCTGTGTGACATGCCTTTCTGAGCTGTATGAGATGCAGCCTTCTGGCCTCTCCTCTCACAGCCTCTGCAAAGCCTTGGGAGCACTTTCTGATGACACTTGGTAATGTCTAACAGCAGTTTGCTACTGTTTTTCTTTCTTTTCATTGAAGGGAACTGACTCCAGGGGAAACCACCTTTATTTTTTTTCACTCACATAAACTGCTAGGCAGGTTCCAGGTGCTAACAGCTGTCTCTTCTGATCCATTAGAAACCCATTCAAAGTGGCTGACATGAGCCATCCAGCTGTGGTTATAAATAGAGTACATGGTGTCAGTATCCTGAGGTATGCAAGACACTGAAACTGGAGATATTTTTCCCTCTTTGTAGGTCCCCAAACTGTCCCTGGGCATTCCCTAGTTGATACAAGCCAAGGCAGAGCCAGCAAACAGTTTTCCACTGTGGATTCATACCCTATTCCTGATAAAGTTATTAATACAGATGCAGCCTTAAGGCTGCTCTTCTCCAATCTTCACTTCTACCATGGGATTGTTTTCCTGAATAGTTATAATTGTACATGAAGTATTTTCTATCAGTATGTACCTTTAAAATATTTTCCTGAGAGCACGGCTTCACTGGCCATTCCTTCAGTGGCTGGACCTCAGGCTGAAGAGGCCTTAACTCTCGGAATTCTGCTAGACTTCTTGAAGGAGTGAAATTTAAAGTTGTGATCAAATGTGGTCAGAGGTATGTCCCATCTGTAACATCTCATCTCTTGCAGATCCTAATGTTCCCTGAATTTCCTCTCAATAATGCTGCTCCAAGATGGCTTTGTCCTGAGAGAGAGCTTACCTTGACTACCTGCATGCCAAAGCCTATTTAGCCAAGTAGATATCTGTCTTTAAAAAACTTGGTCTGCTCATACATCCATACCTGAAGACCTGTACTTAGGATGGATGGGAAATACTGCAGGAGCAATATCTTTGTCATACTGGATGAAGATTTCAGGTCTTACACACTTCTGTTATGTTCCATCCAGGCCAGCCTTCATCAGACTTTTCCATCCAGCTGTTGCAATGGCAGTTGATTTTTACCATACCATGCAGCCCCTGCTTCTTTCCAGTTTGTATCAGTGTAGGTCTGCCCCACCTTTCTAGTGAGATAAGACAAACTGGTGGAGACCCTTACTTTGAAAGGCAGGCCTCCTTATCTCATGGTCCAGGGCAGTTCTGCAGGGAGATACAAGAAGTTCCTGTGACATTTCAGCCAGTTCTTAACACTGCTGTTAACATGTAGCTGTTATCTCTTGTATCTGGTGTAGCCCTTCTGCAGCACACACACCTCCTTCCTCAGATTTTCTCTATCTGCAGGTAAGTCAGTCACATCCCTCATGCCGCAGGCAGTGAGGACCTAGCCATGCCTCCAAACCAGCATTACCTGGAGATGGAAATGAAATGTATCCTCCCTCCATCTCCTCCTGAAAGGGCCTTTGCTTTCTATGTGCCACAGAGAAGCCTGGGTTTTGCCTTTAATAAAGCCTCTCTAGTGACTCCCAGCTGGTTCTTCTTCCTTAGATATTCTTCTTTGCCAAAAAAATCAAGCAAATTTACCTCCACCCCATCTTCTCCAGCCCTGCTCTCACATCACACACTACCAGACCAGCTCTTCAGAAGTAGAACTAGAAACATAAACGGGAAGGCCTAGCATGAACAGCCCCACACACACTGCCATCCCTTACATGTAGTTGTCAGTTTTGCTGCATCTTCCTGGTTGGCACTGAGCAGAGCCCTCAGCTAGCAACCACAGCAACAGTTAACCCATCATCTCTGGACCAAACTTCTGTGGCTCTCAAAAAAATGAGGTAATCTGTAACCTTGCAGACCACTGTGCTATGGAGAAGAGCTGGAGTAGTTAACTAAGTTTGTGAAGGATCTCCTGCAGCTGTCCAGACAAAAGCCACAAGATTTGGTTAATTTTGCTCTTTTTCTGTCTTCTGGTAAATAAGGATTTGCCAGGAGTCTACATGCAGAGTACATTTTGGTTTTTTTCCCTTTTCTTCCCTACCACCATTTTCAGATAGCAGGGGACAATCTCTGTCTGGCTGCAAGTGGACAGCCTCCAGTCTGAGCTGACTTCCGGAGAGCCAGCAGTTGAGGCATTACAAAGAGAATGATGGACTGTCAGATCATGACATTTCTCTTTGTGACTTAGTTTATAGCTTGCCAGACAATCTGGATTCTTGAGATGTGAGTGAGAGAGTTACTGTGGTTATTGTAGCAAAGTTCTGGGTTACTACAGTATTGAAGTTTAGTAGTAAGGGTTGACTTTACCAGTGCAGCCTTGCAACACCACTGGAAAAATTAAATTTCACCAGTTTCCAATATGATGGAGCTGGAACCTTTTTGCCCCCTTCAAACTCAAGAGTGTCACTAATTCAGACTGAAGGTGATGCATGAATAAACCACAGTGACTTTAAGATGGACAAGTTTTCTTCAACATGGACATAAAAACCCCACCCATGTTTTTCATCTGTAATGTTACCTTGTCTGACCTGTTTACTTCTCTGTACGTGAATAACCTCTGATAATCATTATGACAAGTCTTCTAATGGAACTGAGTCTGTCTGTGGTAAGATACAGTAAGATGCATCACCAGTCCTGTCAGGAGAATCCATGGCAGTCCCTTGCATCCTGGTGGTCTCTGCAAGCAGAGGCTTGTGGGAAAGTGAATTCATTGTCAACCTTGAGATGGTAACGCTGTGTTGTCAGCACTGGCTGTGTGGCTGTTAGACAGCTCAGAGAGATCAGGGACAAGTCCTTACAGATGCCCCATATGCACCCACTAAGTTTGTGCTGTGATACTGCTTGGTGTCTCTGGAACTTTTTTCTCAAATTGTGCATCGCTGGAATATGATTTAGTCAAGAAATGAGATACTCAGAAGACAGTGTCTGCATTGCTAAGATCTGGACAAAGTTGCAGAAGACCTGAGAGGCATCCAGCCTCTCAAAAAGCATAGAAATGCCCTTTTTCTTACAAATGTCAGGAGGTAAGGCTGTTCCTCTCCAATTTAACCAAGCATAGTATTCTTTTTCCTGCAATTGGTGTGTCACCTATATCTAGGACATGTCAGTATATCAGGTAAGGTGATTCCAGACTGTACTGCAGCTCCTGCCATGCAGTTGATCTGGAAGTTTATTGCACCCAAGTTCATGTGCAGAGTTGACTTTTTTCCTCCTTAACAAAACAACAGAGCTTCACTTCCCAATTTCTCTAAGTTAACTGGTTTTCTGCTTCCATCACTACTTGGCATATGCTTCAAAAAAAGCCTTCATGCAACTGATGGACAGATTCTAGTTACAGCTTGTACTTGATCATGTTTTCATCTGAATATTCAGTAGGTGCAAGGGTTTGAAATGCTGCCACAGTAGCCCTTAGTTCAAGGCAGACTTCACAAGCCTGTCAATGCTTCAGCAGATGACTAAGTTATTTACATACTTACATTTAAGAGATATCTTAAATAGATTTATAAATAGAACAATAAAGTGCATGAAAAATCTCCAAATGTCACTGCATACCTAAAAGTTGCAATATAATTGAAAATGAAAGATCTTTCTCAAAAGTTCACAGAATTTCAGCCTCCAAGTGAAGCAACTGCTAGTTTAGGGAGCCACTTCTTTGTGTCATGTCATACCAATATTAGTGTGTTAGTATTTTTAAATTGCTAGTAATCCATCTTAAACAATTACAGAGAGGTTTTTAAGAGCACACATTAGAATGAAGGTTCCAAATATTAATGGATTTCATTAATTCATTCAGCTACTCTAGGTACTGCTGAACTTCCAGACAAAGAAAAAACGTGTGCATGTACATTCAAATCAGGTCATTCCAATTCAAAAAATATACATGTTCAAAATGAAGACAATTTCACTAATCATGTGGAAAGACAGAAGCACTAACTGCTTTGGACATCTTCGTCCCCATTAGAGAACGCAGAAAGAGAAGACAAAGCATTCTGGTTTTATTCACAGCTATACTGTCAGTCATCAAGAAAGTTCCCTTTTTTCCCAAGGCCTGGAACCTGCAAGGGTTCACAATTCGGGCAGTTACAAGTAACTAGCAGAACTATATTCCTGTAATCTGGCATGACAGATTACAATTTAAATGCACACACAGTCAGAGTAAATGTATAAAGTTAACAAGGATTGGAAGGAATAACTGAATTGTTAGTGTCACAATAATGTCTTAAGTCTTTACTCCTTAGTTCTTTTTATCTTCAGGGATGCCTCAGGTAATAGGAATGTCTCAGTGCAAGAGCTTCAGGGCAAGTAATGTATTCTTGAGTATGTCATACCTGCCACAACAGGGTTTGAATCTTGATTTATATCAGTGCATAGGATTGCCTTAGATGGTAGAGAGAAAACAGAATTGTAAGTTCCATGTGTTTCAAAAGAATCACAATGGAAGAGAGCATCAAAACTCCTCCTTACTACTAGTGAAAAAGGCTACAATAAAGCATACCTGAAAACACACATACCAGCCACCAGTGGTATATAACAGTCTTGCAGAAGAGCAATTTTTGGACACTCATGCTCTGCCTTTTGACACTTACAACTCTCTGGTAATTGCTTGCATCCTTCCAACCAACTGTGTATGCTATTAGGGTGGCTGAAAAAGGGTTCTTTCCTGAGATACCCACCCAAATCCACATGAACACTGCCCTGAACAAAACAGTTTGACTAAACAGCAGCAGATTTTTCAATAAAAAAAAAAAGTCCTAAAATCCAAGACAGCAGATGGTAAATCTCAGATTTCATGCTTTAAGTAACAAGTATGTGCCTTGAAAGGAAAAGAAGTTTGCACCTAAAATTACACTGTGCTGTCTGCTTTCAGAGCAAAAGGACATTTTTGGACTTTTTTTTTAACAAAAGATACTTTTCTTTGCACTTTCTCTAATGACAGTTTTCTTCTACAGCTGTAATTAAAGGACACTTTATATTTGGCAATCTGGATATCAGAGACAAGGACATGGCATTGTTCCTTCATTTTGCCTGAATGTTTCAACTTTTAAACCTTTGTTTTTAGCTTTTAATAGTGCTTACAAAGTAAAGGGGGAGAATATGTCTATTTTAATCAGGTTTGGTTTAGACCACATAGAACAACACATTAGAAAAAAAGGCAATTACTTAAAAATAGTTGTATTTATATCCCACAATTTGCTCAAATACTGTTTTGTTTGTTGGGTTTTTGGTTTTTTTGCAAATACTGTTTTGTTTGTTGGGTTTTTCGTTTTTTTGTGGGGTTTGGTGTTTTTTGTTTTTTTTTTTGCTTTTTGTTTTGTTTTTTTATAAACTTTCTACAGGATGTTTTAAAACAAGTTCTTCACATTGCTTGTCAACTATGTACTTATGGAATTTCAGGGAAATAGTTCTGGTTGTTTTTACAGTTTAACACATATACAGTACCAAAACCATGGTGGTTAGTCACATGCAGTCCATATGAGATTCTAACATAACATTTAGTGAATTTTCTGATGTTGACCAGCCCTTTGATGCTGAAGGTAATGCATCTGTGGAAAGCAGTGATTGTAGATTTGGATTACTGCTCTCTGCATCTTCCAGTTTTTCAGTGTTGTCCTCCCAGTTAATGTGGAATCTCGTGACTCTAGGATTAGATGCCAAAATATTCCTTTGAAGCTGAGAAAGAAGAAAATACATGGATTAGAGTTCACATGCATAAAGACTTTTTTCCTTTTACTCCCCATAGCCTTATTTGTGTAAAGCAATTTGTTTAAAAGGGTAATTCTGCTCGATGTGAATCTACAGGTAGTGTCAGTGGATCAGAAACGTGCTTGTAGCACACACCATTTGTTCATTTACTGCAATATCCTACCCAGCAAAATAAGCACTTTCTCAAGGGGCTGTGTTAACTGTTCCACATGGTCAAGGCTGTGTGAGAGCTCTGCAAGTGAAGCCTAAGTGTGTATTTCATCCAGTTTTTAGTCTAAAGCAAATGACATCCCCACGAAGATTTTGCAAACCACAGTACTTCAGAAAATTTTGCATCAACTTGACAGTATTTACAGTAACAATCAATTCCATGAACATCTCATCTTCCTTTAGAAGTACAACCTATCCTTAAGTTAAATTACTGAACTTTAGATTGATTTCACTAAGTGAATTTATCTACTTTGAAAGTTCTAAAGTATAAACATTACTTCGATTTGGAAGATAGTAACATTGTGGCAGTGGACACAATTAGGTATATCATGTGAGTGATAATCTCACAGCTGGCCTTCATTTTCCTTTGAAAACATGTTGTATTTGTTTATGTATGCCGCATGACAGAAAATGCTCATTTTCTCTTTATCTTGAAAGGGGTGAAAGACTATATATACACTTAACTGGAGGGTGAGAGCTTTTGCTGATCTTTTCCACAGGAGCAAAGCTAGTTATATAAGCAGAGACTAAAAACAAGTAGTTCTAGGCATTTCTAAATTCAAGTGCTTAAAGAAAGTCACCGTTTTGGCACTCACAACTAAAGTAACAAATAAGTCTATGATTTAGATGAAAGAGGAAAGGAACATATTAGAACTCTAAGAATCCTCAAAATTAACTGTAATTTTAAAAACATACTGAGTATCTGATCCCTGAAAATTAAGTATAGGAAAACCTACTACTATTTCACTTCATCTTTTAATTCTACTCCTGATTGAATTGTTACCATGAAAGATATTTTTTTTAAACTTAATCTGTATGCTTCCTTGGTCAAGTTGTCCATTGATCAGATAATCACCCAACCTGCTCTTACCAGGTTACCCATCTTCTCTCATTTTATACTTAACTTACTCCTCAGTTTGTTTGTTACCATTTTGCAAAACCTAGACACTAGAACAGCTGGATAACTACAACTTAGATCCAGGTTGATGGGCCTAGAAGAAAACATTACTCTGTCCTTCTGAAGAACAGAGCCATTTTGACAAAAGTGGTACAGGTGGAAATAAATCCAACAGTTTATTTCACACCATCAGTGTAGAAGTACAGCCAAATCATCAAGGTGGTGGAAATTGTTTATGGCTTCTCAGTATTAGCCAAATTTATGACAACTACATCATTATTTGCAGTTCGTCTCTCCAAAGTATTTTCTGTTATTTGATGCTTCGTTCCATGCACTTTATGAAGTCACCTGGGGTTTGGTTTTGTTTCTTAAAACCTTCTTTCTATAAGCAAACCTCTGACACGTGTCTGGAACAAAAGGTGCCTTACCTTAGAAAAGTCTGGCTTTACTGGCGGGTTCTCCCTCAGTTCTGTTTCGGTGTACTCATTGTTTACATAGTAGCCAACTCTAATGAATTCTTGACCTCGGTACGTGCATGTAATTAGCACAACTGTTACACCTACTGCATCTGCATCTGGAATAAGCCCTGGGTTAGGTGCGTCAGCCTAGATGTGAAAGGGAAAGATAAATTACAACAAAATTGACACCACACGCCTGTCTAGCAGGGGAATCTGCAGTAGTATGTTTTAGCAGCAGAGTTGTGCCTATATTTAAAATTGTTCTTCAAGTTAACCAGATAATATAGCTGCTTTCACAGCATCAGCCCTAGAGTTAGGGCACTATCCTCTAGAGACAGAATTGTCTCTAGACTAACAATACAGCAGTATTGTTTGCTGACATTTCTCATGGGCAATTAGACAGCTTTGATCCAAAACTGCTTTTAAATACATGATCAGCTGAACCGTGGTTCGAGCAGGTGTACCAACATCACTGCAGTCCTACACTGCCTTTGTTCTCCAGCCCAGCCTGGTAATTCAGGAGAGCAACATTATTTATTTTTTTTTCAACCTCCATGGTTGAATTGGTCTGTATGTGTATTTTTAACAAGGCTAAATCCTTAAAACTACAGACTGAATTTATGCTTCAGCCAGAACAGGGACAGGCTACAGTGAGGTTTGAGCCACAGATTTCTAGAAAAGGAATAAACTTTCTCACCTTTTTCCTAATGCCTGTTAAAATGTATGTGGGTAAATGCATCATGTCTCTAAGACACCTGACATATTTTCAGCCAGTATGCAAACCTAATTTATAGGCAACTCATATAATCTTCCCTACTTACCATGGCTCTGCAGTTATTAATCAATAAAACTTGCTTCACAAAATGTGGCTCACATCAGTCCTTAAAATGCTTCCTAACTACACATTTACAGATAAAATATGTGATGCCTCATTCTGCTGTAGGATTTAAAGTAACAGCAATCTAAGCATAGTGAAACAGCTTCATATTTACAATTTTACATGAAGATCTGAAATCATTAATGAACACCAATGTAGCCAGTACAAGATACATTAATAATGTGAGTTAGAATGGTTTGGGTGTAACAAACCTTGCCTAAGGACAGAGGACAAATGGAATTAATTCCTTTTGTTGTCCCTCTCATCCCTGCTTTTCTGTAGTATTTCTATGCTCCAGCATGGTGAAATTTGGGAGTTAGTGCTCCTGCAGCACTGGCTTCTACTCTTTGCTACTTCAATTCTAAGCCTTCAAAGCAGTCAGTCTAGCTTTTCACAAGAAGCTGTAGGCACTTTGCAGAAGAATTAGATGAGTCAGATTTCTCAGGTAGAAATACAGCAGAGGGAGGAAAAGAAACTAGGAAACTGGTTACAACACAACCTCCTCCAGCCCTGAAGGAAATAGAAAGTGATCAAATTCATTTTACAACTTGCATAGGGGAATGGAAAAGATGACCAAGGAGTAAGACAAGTGCAGAAGCTGTAAGAACTCATAAGAACTGCTGGTAGAGATTAAATCAGCAGCCTGGTGCCCAGACCCATTTGATTACTTTAAATCCCACAGTTACAGACTAATGTATCGCAAAAGGACACTGTTCTGTTTAATTCCCCATGAAACTAGACTCATACCCTAATGTAGGATTTTAGTTTTCCACCCTCCTATTGTCATTTTGTGTCTTGTAATATCCTATGACACAGTCCTGAATCCAAGGAAATACTCTGTTCTAATCCTAGTTAACTCTCAAGCACTGTTTTGCTGTGTGGAACAGACACTGAACACTGTTTAAAATCATTTTCTCAAATTTTGAACTTTCTGACTTTGCTGTTGAACCTCTTAATCACTCAGGAACCAAATGATCATACACAGGTGGAAGTAAAAAAAAAAGCTTGGTATGATCAAGTGATAAATAAGCAGCTGCAAACAGCTATTTTGGTGGGCAAAGAGAGGCAGTAGATTTATTTTTGCATAAAAATCACTATCTTAAGATGCCACTCTTGTGCTATAAATTACTTAAGAATTTTACTAAATCGTTCAGTGTTGTCTTGAATTTTCTAGGTTTTCCACATGATACATTTATTCACATAGCTATTACTGCACAGTAGGCAGTGCAGGTCACATCCCCACTTAAAGATAGTGATTTTTTTATGTGCTTGTATTTTCTAAAAGAAATTTCTGTGATTTTACTACAAATCCCCAAGTGCACAGAGAGAAGAAATCAGGTTTCACTAGTGTATCTTGGCATTTAGAAACAAACAGGCCAAGCTGTGAGCCTTTACTTATTCAAACCTTTTTAAATGGTTTTAAAATCCCCAAAAAGGCTGCTTGTTTAAGTCTGAAAAGCACAATAGCTATCCATCTTTCTGCATGTAAGGTTGAATCCCCCAACCTGATACACAGCTTCCTTTCAAGAAAGGTAGTTTTCTCATCCTTGGCATTGTATCTGTGTGGTACTCCATTTTAGCTGCTGTTTCAGCCATTTTCTTATCTAGAAAAATCTACAGCCTATTATCTGAAAATGTTATAGGCCTCTGCAAAGGTGCTTTCCTTATGCTGTCCCTTGTGAACACAATCTCTTTTCCTTGCATCATATGCCTCCTGCAGTTCCGTGCTTTGCCCCATTCTTGCCTTCCCTTGCTAGTTCTCTCCATATTTCAGGCTGCTTCAGTTTGCTGAATAAAATGGCTTCAGTCGTCAGCAGCAAAGACTTACAGCAGCACTTTGAGTTTGGTGGTCTCCTGTGTGCACATGAGCTGAGTCCTACCCTCACCTCAAATCCAGAGCTTCTGAAGTGTAATATACTCAGACCAACAATACTTCTAACAAGAAGGGATACTTTAACACATATAACACATGGTAGGAGTTAGTTACACACATGTAAAAGGAGTCTTTTACAGGACCTGCTCCTATCTAAGCAAAATGTCTACATATCTCCTCCTAATTTAGCTGTAGTGTCATTAATAACCAGGATACAATCTGAGTCCATCCCACAGAAGCTGCAAGGCTAGTAAATTTAATTCTCAAGACCTTCCCAGTCATACAGCCAAAACATGCTTTTTTAGGCACCTGCTTCCTGCTCCTTCCCATCACCACCAACAATGAATCTTTCACTTAGCTGAGAACAGTGCATCTTTTAAAGCAGAACTGTAATCACCAGCTGATTTTCCTGGATACAGTGCTACAAGGTAGCCCTTTTGAGGGCAACAGAGGTTCACCTATTTCTGACCAATGAGCTGTAATAGCCTGACAATGGAAAACCTGTTAATAAACGATGCATTTGTCACACATCTCTTTTATTTGTGATGTGGAAGAATTAGGCCTGGTTCCAAAACCAAACGAATGTTTCAAGACTGATTTGCATGTATGTGGCTGATAGCCCTAACCTCCAGCCTAATCCTATTCCCTTAACTTGCCCTTTAAGGAAAAAAACCAAACCCAAAACTTTCCTGGAACTTACAGGATTAATCAAGTTGCCTCATAAATGCTGATGTTATGTTAAAAGTGTTACAGTAATGGTGAAAAATAAGAAAGTGTATTCATTAGCACTCCTGGGTGTTTTAATGCTCACACTCCAGAATGCATTTCCCATTAAATAGTTAAGGGAAAGTAGAAGGGTTCTTCCACAGTAAGCCGTACTCAATTTCAGTCTGATTTTTCAGCCAATGGACTTTGCTCTCAGTTTAGAAGAAAAAAATCTAGTATTTGATAGAGTAGACAAAAGTGTTAGTTTTAATCAAAATTACAGTTTAGATTAAAAAAAACCCAAACAAAACCACACCCCAAACAAACAAAAAAGAGCTTCTCTGCAGGCAAGTCCACTTCAGTTTTTATGGGAATCACAATGGGCTAGTTAGCCATTTTAGTGCTGCTCTTTGCCTGTTTTCTTTCTCTTCATTATTCCTTATTAACTTTTGGCTTTAACAGCAATATTTTATAGGACTGTCACATGCTCTAGAATTTGCTGGACAGTCTTGATCTACACACTTGTGTCCTAAATGCCTACTATCTACCACTAGATTTCTGTCTCCTTTTAGAATTGGCTGTGTTTTGTTAGGATTTAGTGTGCTGATCCAAACATCATGGTTGAACATGGATCCTGTTAAATAGAAATTAACTTCTTGATTGTTCTGGCTGAGTTTTACAATTAATTTGTTGGCCTGATCTTCTGAAGTTCCTGTCTATATTAACCTAGTGCTCCTGATTGTCTGCAACTGCCACTAGTGGCACAAGAGTTGAGCCTCATGGTGCTGGTGTAAACCAGGTAACTGGGCACTGTCAATTACTGAGTGATTTACAAGATATTTACTAACCAGACCCGTCAAAATTATCAGTAGCTATGGGAACTGTGCTTGTATCACTAATTATTGGTACCACAAGTGAAAAACATAACCACGGAAGTATCAGGGACTAGAAGTATCAGCTCCTGACCAGGCTTAAAGGAAGCTGTATCATACCTGAAGAGCTGACTGAAATATTTTTCTAGCTTACAATTATTTTTCAAGTGCCTCTTACCTTGATAAAATCATCTCTAAACAAATTAATACAACCCTTTTAGAAACAGTTATATCAATCTTACCTGAAATACGAACATGTGTCTGCCCGCAGGAACTGGTCCTACTAAAACTGAGTCTAACACCTGATCATATTCTTCACTTTCAGCTGAGCCCACATAAATTATTTTCCATTCCAGATCTGCAGCAAAACAAAAACAAAATAAAATCAACAAACATTATTTACCATTACAGTTAAGGGTCTTCCACTCTTACCCATCCAGTTTTGTGTAGCCTAAAATTGCTTCTTTGGCAACAGGCCTAAAATAACAAGGACCACCAGCAAATCACAGATTTACTGATGTCTGACCCAGTCCTTATGAACCAGATCATCTCACATCCTCCCTCTAGTCAGTTAGTACCACAGGAATCCCTCTGTTTTCATGGTGAGGTTAATTTTCAGACTGTATCCAGAGAACAGGGCCCAGAGACTTAACTGGGAGCAGTGTTCAGCATCTCCTCAGAGTCTGCCAGAATGGCCACAGCAGACAGATGATGCCTAGGTACACCTAAAATGCATCACGTGCCTTGAATACTCATCTCCTCCCAAAAAACAAATTTCCACCTTCCACATATACACCACACAGCTGAAATCACACAGATCATGGAAGCCAGTTAATGGAGTAAGAAATCCCACTGTGGAAGCACCAGGCACACTAACTGTATGTCCCTGTTCCTTCAGGTGTCACTTGTGTAACCCACAAAGTATGTAAAGGTGTGATAGCATGACTAGATTATACTCTTAAAGATACTCCTACTTGGACTTTATTTACATCCTAAAATGGAATAATGGACCAAACCCAAACATTTCTTACAATTCAGTTTTTTATAACTCTGCCTCTCCCCCACAGGTGTCTGGCAGTTGAAGTTGCAAATTAGGCCACATTAGTTCTTCCTGAGCCAGATTTGCACCTTCTCTTTTTGATTCAAAAACACATGAGCAAACACACATATGGAACCAATCTCAAAAGACAGATTTTTGAGGGGTTCTAAACAAGAGGGGATAAAAGATCACCATTAGAGAAAACTATGGCTAACACTTCTCTTAACAAAACTGTTGCTTCAGAAGTGTACCTTCAAAGCTTGTATGATCTATTTCTCCCCTCCTCCTTATGGACCTGATTGTCTATGCAAAGGCACAAACCTGTACCCTAATTACATTTACCTGATTACTATGCTCTGCAAAACCCAAAGGTCTATATTATGGTTTCTTGATGCAGGAATGGAACTTAAGCATAGAAAACATGTAGCACTTTAACAGAACTTGGCTGATTTAGAAGTGCAGCTCTCTTTCCTCATTAGTGAATTCTTCCTGCTTATCATCTTTATCATCAATGCAGGTTTAACTAACACAATAAACAGGGCTTGGGAAGTGATTTTCCTCCTCTGTATACAGCACAGCACAACTGACCAGGTACTGCATCAGAGGTTTTATTTACCTTTTAAGCATGTAGTACTAGCTGTTGCCAGTACTGCAGGGTACTCATCCAGGACAATTAACCATCTCTCTTGTTTGCATCCGAGGACAACTTACTATTCATAAGACGTGAGGCTTAAGATTATCACATCATCCTGTGCCATTATTCTAGGAGAACAGTGTAAAGTTCACTCTAAACCAGTAGTATTTAGTACTAAAATAGGACTTTTTAAAAGTAAGTTTTAACTTAGTAGAGTGATCCTAATGTTGTTTAGGTATCTTGATACAGAAAAGGAAAGAGAGGATACTTCAAGAAAGAGAGGGCTGGAGTTTGTGAATTTTGAGATCAGTGTTGGACAGGACTGGCTGAAAACAGCACAGTAAATAGACATATTAACACAGGAAAGCTAAGGCAGCGTCAGCAAACTTTCCATCAAGCACACAAAGGCTATGCTTAATCTTATTTTTAAACGTGAAATATAGCAGCACTCATCCCAAATTTATCCTGTAGTCTAACTTGCATTTAGGTGGGGGAAGGAAGCTGAGACTTCTGTATTGCACCATCCATAATCCTTCTCATCCCGACTGTCCGGGATTAACTTTAAGTCTGGAGTGTGCACAACTGGAAGGAAAAGAGTAACACCTTGCACCAAGCCCCTGTGGCAGGCACTGCCACCTGCCACCGAGGGGTCTGATGCTGTACCTCAGACGAGGCCAGACGGACTGCACAGATGCAGTCAGCAACTCTGAGATGGGCATGGAGCAGAGCTCTAAAGAACGCGTCGGTCATTTGCAAAAGGGCAGGAGACAGGCGGAGAAGGCCTGGAGGAAACCCTAAGCTCAGCCGAGACTTCCCCTAAAGTTCCCGCCAGCGCGGCTGTCCCTCCCTCCTTCCCTCCCTCCCTCT